TGAACAGTCTGCAGGATCAGATGCTGACATGCCGGAGTTTGCCACTTTATTGTGTTGTGTGGAAGATAAATATTTGACTATTATGAGAACTCCAAGGGCTTTATTCTCATTGGTTTTTATAGGTAACAGGAAGAACTATGAGAGAAGAGGCCAGAGATGTTGATGAGGGCTGGATCCTGAAGGCCTTGAAAGCCAGCTGAAGGGACCCCACTCTTATCCCGAGGGCAAAAGGAATCACTGTAGGGCAGAAGTATGGGAGAAACATTATCTCTCTCTTGTTTTTTTTAAATATAGATTGGTCACTGTGTGTAGTATACGGACTGGAGATGCCAAGGCAGAGATTACGAAGACGCTGTTGTAGTCTGATTAAAGAAAGTGAACAACTGGAGTCATCTTTCAAGGAAATGCTTTCAGGCTTGGAGCTAATCATACAGATTGGAGAACTGATAAGGTAAAGAGACCACATGATTTAAAGTATACGTGTGTGAGGTGAACTTCCACAGTAGCTTAAAAGTCTCCTCTAGGAAGCCTTCCCTCACCTTTATGTGGGCAGAGAACATCACTATCTTTGGGGATCCCACAAGATTGTTAATTTCTCTATTATAACCCGTATCACATGCTCTGTCATTGTTTATTCCTCATCCGTCCCCTTCTCTATGGACTAGATTCAACATTAGATCCAATCTCATTCATTTTTGTATCCCCAGTGCTTGGAAGCATCAACAAACATTTACTGGATGAATGCAGGGAAGAGGGAGGCTGTGTGGACTGGCAGCTAGGACATAGGGCTCTAATCCTGGCTCAGCTAATAAGTGGCTGCGTGACTTTGAACAAGTCTCCTCACTGCTCTGGTTCTCAATTTCTTCATCTGTAAAATGAGAATAAAAATACAACCCTCCTTCTCAGGGTTATGGAGATTAAATGAGGTAACAGAGCTTACCAGCTGCCTGCCCTGTTTGTGCCCTGCCCTGGTGAAACAGCCTGGACTATTGTTCTTTCATTTGGATTTAATTTGCTCTCGCTCTCTCTCCTGGTGACAGTGGAGCTGAAAACTGTGGCCTTGTTAGAGGAGAAATTTGCTACAGTGGCATACATATTATCCAGGGGGCCCCTATGTTGTTTGGAAGGGCAGGAACCAGTAGTGGGGAGCATGACAGACCAGAGATACCTGTTTCTTTGGTGACCCCTAAAACTAAAGAGGACCCTATTATCACCTGCTGATGGATTTAAGGGAGCCCTCAAATAGTGCTCCTCAGCCCTGGAATTCAGCAGCAGCTGGTGGAATGCCATTTCTATGAAGTCCTCTCATTCATCTAAAGTCATCATTTCTCAGGCTTTGGGGCTGATATGATTAGCCCTGTCATGAGGCTTTAAGTGCTAAGAAAGATGGAGGAGAGGAGTGGGTAAAGCACTGTGAATGTCAAATAGAAGGAATGACATTCTGGGGGTGGGGGAGGGGTGGAAAGAAAGGAAATCATGATTTTTGGACACTGCTATCTGAAGAGATGACTAACAATTTGCAGGCGAAGATGTCTTTCCAGAGGCTCTTCTGGCATTACTCCTTTTACATTGTGAAGGCAAACTTTTCCATCAAAAGTTGATATTTCCCTGATTTACCAGGCATGTGGCCAGAGAGGCCCTAAAGTCTGCAAATGAAATTGTGTAGAGCTTTACCAGGAGTCTCATTTATTGAGTTTATTTAGATGCATGAATTGGGTCTTATCACAAGACAAGTGGTCAAGGGAAGAGGAGAAAGGGGGAAAAAAGGGGAGGAGATTTGGCCGGTGGAATGACTGACTCCCCAAAGGCCCAAGTCAGCCCTGGTGTTAAAGCTGGTGATCTTAAAAATAAATAAATAAAAGTATGTTTCCATTTTGCAAGGCTTTAAAAAAAAAAGAGGGTGTGCTCAGATGGCACCTTTAATCACAAAGAACTTTTGGCCGAGTTCCAGGCTGATTCTGCAGTCACAGAGAGCGCTGAGATCATACCCTATATTCAGTGCACAGAAGAAATATTTCATCTATCTCTGCAATAGTGGGGGAAATGAAGCAAATTTGAACAGTTTCATAACCAAACCATACTGGGGTGAAAAGTGAAAGATAACCCTATCCATTCAGTTATAGAAAGACTATTAATTCTAAGTACTAAATTGGCTTTTTTTTTTTTTCATTCTGAGAGGGGTTCGCAATAAACTAAGCAGCTTGCATAAATCCAAAGGTAATCTCCTATTTCACAGATACATAAATGAAGGCAGGCAGATTTTGTGATTTACCTAAAACTAAATTAAAAAAAGAAACAAGGAAGGGGTAAAGGGGCGGTGTGGGTGGGGGAGAAAGCAACTCCCAAAGAAGCAGGTTGTGACCCAGGAGAGTTTGAGCTCTTACAGCTGAATTTAATCCACACCCAGGCCAAATATAATTCCCCAGGATGGACGTAGTCCAGGACACCAGAGCTCACATTCTCTACCTTGCCAAAGAGCCTGAGGTGGTTTAGTGATAAGAGGCAGAACCTCACTTTTACTTCTCAACTGAAAGAAAGCAAAGCCAGCATCTTGGGACAAGAATTTCCCACCCTGGCAGGGGGACTGATGTGAGGCCAGCTGAAGGAAGCATGCTTCCCCTTGATTCATCTTTGCCCGGGTACCACTCTGTTATTCCTTGGAAGTCTCCAATTCAAAGGTCTATTTAAGCTTGGGCAGTGGGTCATGCAAGATTGAGTCACAGCTTTATTTCCTGTGACCGTCTTGAACATTCATTTATGTATGGTGCTGCTGCTACACTATATGCTCTCAGCGGTGAGAAGGGCCTGGCTGATTGCTCTGTGTATTAAAAATTGAACCCCCGATACTAAGTGGTGAAAAGTGGTCCTGGTGAAAGTGACTGTGGAAATCTGAAAGCCATTATCTTTTCCACACGTTCTTCATCCTCATTTTGTTTGGGAATACACAGGGACACTCATGAGCAAAAATAAATCAACTTATTGTTGACTGATTGTTCTGTCTTTTGAATTATCAAATGTGAGTACTTCTGGCTCCCAGATAGGGCGAAGTAGAGATTGCTGGGAATCCAGCCACAATTTATCCTTGATCTTTCAGCATCTTTTACCTAGAGGAATGAGTCTGTAGATTCAAATTCAAATGCTCTGCCCCAAAGTTGATGCAGCTTCTGAATCACATTTGGATTTCAGAAATGGAAGGAAAGCAGACTAGAATTGTTGGTTTTTGTGTTTGTTTGTTTTTTTAAACCCTTACTATCTCCAGTCCATAGATATTTCAGCTGTTCCGAGAAACGCTCAACTCAGACAGAGCACCTTTAAGGAAGGCAGAGCCACCTTAGGAAAGAGTGTGAAACGTGGCAACTCGTCCACAGGCACGAATCAATATAGCATAGCCGTTCAGAGGAGGAGGTTTTGCTAGGGCTTAAATCAGGTTGTCAACTCAAACACAATGGGCTTTGTTACTCCTGTGTAAAGAGGAAATGGAGCCGTTTTTGGCTTCCCCAGTCTGTATTGTAGGGCATGCAAGCAGCAGGGTAATTCCAGGCGCAATTTTCACGAGACACATATCTGCTTTTGACTTTTCAGTGTTCCCCAGCAAGTTAATCAGCTCTTTCTGAAATGCATGGAAATAGCATTTCCACACTGAAACCTAGTAACTTTTAAGCTTGGGGAGGAGGAATTGGGTGTGTGGGGAAGGGGTCCTGTGGCGGGGGGTGGGGGTGGGGTGGGGCACACGGGGACCTCCTAGCACTTGATGGATTTCAGAAACTGTACGCGCATCGATCCCAAGACATTTTTCTGGTGGAGCACTGAATTGGTGTGTGGTGATGGTGGTTGGGCTTCTGCTGCGATGCCTGTATTTGTTTCAGGTGTGAGGGAGTTCAAAAGTCCTTGGGTGGGAAGCGCGGAGGGACTGCGAAATGTCTCCCGAGAGACGTCTCAACTTAAGGGGAGACGCAGGGACGAGGCACAGGTAGCGGCCGAGGAGCTCTGGGCATCCCTCCCGGGGCGTAACTGTGTTCGAAAGTGGTTTTGAGGGCCTCCGCTTTGACAACTCAACACGGGAGCAGGGGGCTGTCCCAGCAAGGTAAGGAGGTCTGCGGGGCGGCATTCTGCCCGCGGCCCTCCGGAGGTCCAGTGACGGCACTGCCCCTCTCCCCTCCCCCGCGGCCAGTCTCCGGGCAGAGGAGCCTCGCGCCAGCTCGTCCGCCTCCGTTCCTCACTCGCCCTGGTGGACCGAGCCTCAGCGGGAGCCTCGCCCGTCTCCGGGCAGCTCGAGCCCCCGAACGTTAACCTAGCCTGTCAGGAACCGCCGTTTGCGCTCTAGTCCGCACGCCCGCCGCGCCCCCCCCTCTTTTTTTTTTTTTTGCCTTCTTTCCCCCTCTGCCTTTGTCCCGCTTAGTAACTGGGCCCTGACCAATCGTTGCTTCACCGGCCGGCGCCGGCTCTTTCCTGATTGGCTCACTTGGGGCGCGCAGCGGTCTCCCGCTTCTTCGCAGGAGCAAGGCAGACAAAAGACGTAGGCTCCCGGCTCCGGCAACCAGGATCAGCCAATCACCGCCTACCTTATCCGCTCTCCCCCGCCCCCCCTCCGCGCCGGTCCTCCTCCCCCCTCCTGTCTCCCTCCCAGCCTGGCTCGCGTGCTTCGGGCACTGACTCCTGGCTGGCGGCCAGCGCCCGGACCGTACCATTCTGATCGACCTTGGGGGAGATAGGTGATGGCTGATCCTGGAGCCGAAGCCTGGAAAGTGGTGGGGACAAAAAGCTGGGATGGAGGACAGCTGGTTAGGCCCTTTCGCGGATCCCTGGCATGATTTCCAGTACATCGAGGCTGCCGCGAGTAGAGCGGGTGTGAAGCTGGTTGTCTCCCCCCCCCGTTTGACGCCGGTGGGTGGTGCCTCAGCGGGTGGGGAGATGGGGGCGGGGGTGCGTGTCCCCTCCGCGCTGTTAAAATGAAACTCTAGTGGCTGAAGCCGGGGCAGAGCGTGAGGTAGAGCCGGCGCTGGCGGGCTAGCAGACAGCCCGGCGGGAGAGCCCCGCCGAGCGGAGCTGACTGGACTCCCGACTGACTCTCCGATTCCGGGGCTGCGGTAGCTAGGGTTCTGGGCCCGGCAGGGACGGAGCTGGAGCCCTGGCCCTTGAAGGGATACCTCTCCGCAGACTAGTGGGACCCCGAAACTTGAACGCAGCCGCCGGTCCCATTTTGATAGCTTCCTTTGTCACTTCCCCACTTTTCTAACAACGCGTTTTTTCCCTTCTGTTTTCCCTCCCCACTCTTCATTCTCCCTCCTCCGAAGGACACAAAAGTGGCTTCCGTGGAAATATTTGGAGGCGGCGGGAGCTTTTTCTCTTTGGAGAGCGACTGTGTAGACGTGATTTTTTGGGGGAAGCCACTTTCACACTCTTCCCTCCACCCGCCCCCCACAAAAAGCTTCTGTACCCTTTTGAGAGAAGCTCATAGCTTGAAAGTTGGAGGGGCTTTTTGTTGGGTACTGGAGGTGGAGAGAGGGGGAGGACCCTGTCCTCATCCTGGTCGTTGCCTGGACTTGTTACCGGCCGTTGGAAACCCAGAAGTACCTTTCCGCGTGGGACTTTTATAGATCTATATTTTTTAAATTTTTGCAGATACAAAAAAAATATATATATATATGCTCTCTCTATATTTCTTGACGACCTGCCCCTGACAGCGCGATGTACAATACGGTGTGGAGTATGGACCGCGATGACGCAGACTGGAGGGAGGTGATGATGCCCTATTCGACAGAACTGATATTTTATATTGAAATGGATCCTCCAGGTACTTGGGAGAAGGAAAGAACGAAAGGAACGAGAATCTTGTGATGGGTCTGATTTGTGCTTTAACAAGACCTGGGTCGTGTCTTCCGGGGCCGAAGGCTTGTGGGTGCTGCGCTGAGAGTGGGGCTGGGGGCAGATTCGCTGTTGGAGCTGCTGGAAAGCAGGCTCTGCTTTACACGGTTAAAGTTTACAGTGAGGACCCGGTCCCCATTGTCCTAGGCGGGTGGGACTGGGAGCTCGAATGAGGGGAGGTGGAGTGGAGAGACTCGTTTCTGTGACTTCTTTGCTTCGGAGTCGTTCTGCTTCTGGTCACCGCTCCCCCCCTTTTTCTCCTCTCCGTCCTCCTAGACTCGCGTACCTGCAAGGGATGCTCTACGTGCCGCTTTCACTAGTTGGGCGCTGGGAAGCCGGGATTCTCCCTGTGGGGGATTCGAAAAGGCTTGGCATCACCTCCATTTGTCTAATTTCGTTCGTTGTGCTTTACCTTTGTTAACTTCTGTAACCGGGTGGCCTCGGCGATGATTCATTTGAAGAGTCCTCTTTTCTCCCTTAGAGAAAGCAAATGCGGGTTAGTGATTTTCAGGGACTGGGTGTTCTGCTTCAGGGACCAAGGCCTGGCTTGAGGTTTTTTTCCTCCTCAGAATGTAGTTGCTTTGAGAGATCTATGAGCATTGTGTTATGTTTATGGTGATTTAATTGTTCTATCATTTTGGGGACAAGGTTAACCTTCAATTATTTGGTGGAACCTTTTTTTTTTTTTTTGCGTGCGAATGTTATATTCATATATGGGATGGCTCATATACACGTAATGTCAAGTATACATACACTGGCTTTTTATTTTAGAGCTTTGTTTGAGGCCCTCACAGACATTTTGTATATCTGGAAGGAAACGGAAAGGAAGGGAAAATGGAAAAGTTGGGTAATTTTTTTTCTTCCTGCAAAGTCTACCCCATTTTATGATTATTAACTGTCAGATTTTGAAGCCCTGCATGCAATTGTAGACAGCACTTTAATGTAATGATTTTGAAAGTAGAGAGCTTTTGTGCCCCCTTATTTTTGTTGAGGATGAGTGTGTTATGTCTTTTAAGCCTACGGAATAATTGTGTCTTGGGGGAACCTCATTTATTCTTAGACTATGCTTTTTGGAAAGCTTTAAAAGGATTTGAGCTCATGTAATTGTAATGAGGTATAATGATTTTTATAAGATGTATGTAGAAATTGTTTCTTGTGTCCTTGTGAACATTGAATTATCTAGTCTGTCTTTTTTTAATCGAGTGTTAAAATGATGCTCTATTAAAAACTAAAACTAATTGAATCAATCTTTTTCACTTTAATGATCACTTAGCATTTTTTCTGCTTCCCCTCATTTTGGAGCCCTCTTTGTTTTTTAATTGTGATTGCAATCTAGATGCAGCTTTTCAATGTTTCCCAAAGTTTGTAGGATTTTGCCACCCATCTTTTGTGTGTGTTTCCCCTTTGTTTCCCCCTAATGGTAAAACATCACTTCTATTAGATGCATTTGTTATTCATATGAAAGGAAATTTAGTATATCATTGGTACCTCTCTTCTAAAAAGGAAGGTTAATGATTCTAGATAGCTGCTTAAAAATTGCATGTATTCTAACTACCCTAGAATCATACTGTATCATACTGCATCTTGCCTTACAGACATACAAAGGGAACTTGTTGGGAAAAGGAGGGAAGTGAGGAAGAGGGGAGAAAATCAAGAAGGCATTAATGGTTGAAAAATATTGGCCTAGTAGAAACATTGGTTTGGGCATTGATTTTAAGTTGACAACAATTATGTAGTGATGTGGGTCTTGTATGATTGTATAGAAAATTCTGATCCAAACTTTGTGTATCCTGTAGAAATAAACTTTGAGTTTAAAATATCCATCATTGAATGACATTTACATATTTAGATTCTATTCAGGATATTGAAAATATGCATACATTGCTCTTTATTACCCATTACATAGCCTTAACGTAGAATACAGTTAGTTGTTCCTAACAGCTTTTAAAAAATGAAGCACACTTGTGTATGCTGAAATATTGCCAGTGAAGTGAATTTTTAATGGAGAGACTGTGAATGCCAACTTTGTTTTATATGATAAGTTAAGCTTTTAAAATATTTAAAAACTGTAAGTAAATCATTAGTGATGTGTTGGGAGCATGTCTTACATCTGTCTTTTTCCATTCTCAACAGCTCCCCATCAGGCTCTTATTTTTTCCTGCCTGCCTTGGTGTGATAGTACACTAACTGCCCGCCCCAGTGTCTACCGTCACCAAACGAGTAATACTAAAGTATCATTTAATGATGATTTTCTACCTTGCTTTCAAAACCTTTTAATGGATTTCCTTTAGCAACTGGGGAAAAAACCCTCCAGATTTTGTCTCTATCTTTTAAATCCCTCTATGATTGCTTCCAACCTATTTTTCCCGTACAGATACTCCCAAATATCCACTGTCTTCAAGTTACCACCATCTGTACTTAAAAGCATTTGTATGTGTTTATCGTGGTACATCTTAGAGATGGTAATATGTACTACACACAGTGTTGCAGTTCATAGTTTGCTAGTGACGTTCTCAGATGTTCACTTGGAGATGTTCAAAGGTCCAGTTTATAAAGATACTTATAATGAAAGTCAATGATGATGAAAACCAAAAGGCATTGGACTTATGTCAGATCTGATTTACAATAAAGTTGTGGGAATGGAACCTAGCCAGAAGTCGGCGACTACCTGGAGTAAGTTAGTCTTCATTTCTATGGCAGCTGTTTTGTACTTGGTATTCCTTGAATAAAGAGCCCTGGTAGTCCAGTGGTTAAGTGCTTAGTTGCTTAACACAAAGGTTGGTGGTTGGAACCCGCCAGCTGAGAGGTGGCAGTCTGCTTCCATAACGGTTTTCTCGTAGAAATCCTATGGGGCAGTTCTACTCTGTCATATAGATTCACTGCGACTGTCACTCGACAGCCATGGACTTACCGTGTTGGCTTGAGTGTTTGCTTTTTCCCTTTCTTGGACTGCCTTTCACTTTCTGTGGCAGTTTGTTGAAATCTTATATAAGGAGGTTTCACAATGTTCGTGGATTAGTTTGTTATTGTATTAGGCTGGGTTGACTAGAGAAACAAATTCAGTGGCACTCATATACATTTAAGAAAGAGCTTCATATCAAGAAGTAATTGTATATCAGGAAAACATCCCAGCCCAATTCAATGCAAGTCCACAAGTCCCTCTTCAGACATTGAAGCCACATGCAATGATGCAGAATACAGGAAGAACACAGGCCAGTGGGTATAATGTCAAGTGGATCCAATGGTGGTCCACGTATCTCCAGGGCTCTGGAAGATCTCAGAGTGGCCCCTCAGTAGGAAGGTGAAGGCAGAAAATGAGGGGGAGGTTCCCAGGGCCTGCCTTATGAGAAGGCCATGCCCACAAGGAGGCACCATCAGGCTGTGACCTGATGGACAGATTGAATGCCACCCCTACGCTTTAATATATCTTCAAGTTGACAAGAAATTATGTAACTATCAGTTATCTTTTGTTTCTATTTTTCCACAGACTTTTGGAAGCCCTGTATTGTGGTTTTGTTTAAACAATTTTGTTAGCACTTCATCCATGCCATGCTATTCAATCATATCAAGAAGAGTTGTATAATCGTCACCACATTCAGTTCTAGAACAGAGTCTTCCTTGTACTCATTGTTATCCCCTTGTATATGTTTAGGACTGGTTCAGATGCCTTTATTTTGCCAAGATACATTCACTGATCTCTTCTATTGAAAGTTGCTCCTAATTTTCACTTCCTCTTCTAGCACTTCTCATGGAGCCATCTTTCTACTAGCTTATGAACTTCTTAGTTTCTCAGGGTCTGCAATAGTATTTAATAGGCAATTGAATAAATTTGTTGAGTTGATACATAAGGAAAACCATTTCTAGTCTTTAGGTGCTTTTTTCTGTTGAAGGTCCATGGTGACCTCATTTCTTGGCAATTGCAATAATTTAGAATTAAAAGAGCTTTGAATTAGATTTTTTCCCCCTTCACTGTATTGGTGCCAATATTTTTTACATGGTTTCCTCTTAATTTTTGATCAAACTATAAATGTGAAGAGGAGCTCTGGGTGGCGAAGTAGATTATACATTGTGTTGCTAACCAACAGGTCAGCAGTTTGAATCCACCAATTGCTCTATGAGAGAAAGATGAGGTTTCCTGTACCTGTAAGATCTACAGCCTTGGAGATGTAATGGGCAGTTCTATTCTGTCCTCTAGGGTTGAGTTGAAATTGGCTCAGTGGCAGTGACTTTGTTTTTATCCCCTTTTATAAATACAAAATTTGTAACTGTTTAAATTTCTTCTCTCATGGCCTTGGCCATCCAGTTAGTTTACAGTCTTGGATACCCACAGAGGCAGTATTACTATGCTTAGAGGGTCGCTGCGACTTATTTCTCATGTGCTCTCAGAAAACGATTTTTCATAGGTGCTTCCCTTCTGCCTATCTTGCCAATACCCATCATTACCATGCATCTTGAAGGTTTTTAGTAACTTCATGGGTGTTATGACTTATCACTGCCCATGTAAGGATTGAATAAAAAAAATTTGTTTCAATCTTAATGTATTTTTTGCAGCAGTAAAAATAATGAATTGTTCAGATGCTAACATAAACCTTTTTGTTTTGCAAATGTTTAGACTGTGGTACATAGAATTACTTGTAAGAATCTTTATTATTGCTGTTGTGAATATAGGAACTGCAGTTATTCCACAGCAGAACAGTTGCTGAATAGGCCTCTCAGAGAGCCCTGCATTTTGTTATAAGAGATGTTAGAAGATTACTTATACACACATACACACACACACACACACACATGTACAACGCTTACAGATTGTTACCTCTCATCTTGGCACCTTAGTGGTGACTTTCTTTTTTATTTTGGGAAGAGTCAATAAATTACCTTATTTTTAAGTTAATGGGCTATTGTAAAGTTATCTGTAGTTGTTTTTTTTAT